TTGTACAAATATATATAAATCGTTATTTTTTTTTTTTTAGCGATCAGAAAAAAATAATATAGATCATGAATCTGCTTGTATATAATATTGACTTATATACGATGTATTGTATTATTATTTAATATTAAAAATGAAAGTTACCAATTATACAAATCAAAAGAGTCCACTTTTTATCGTCATTAAATGCCTATGTGAACATAAGAGCTGTGTTTCATTTTAAAATTAAAATTTACCTGGAAGTTTCTAGGCTGTCTATTGGAAATTGGTTTTGAATAACCACCATTGTAATCTGCAGTATCCAAACCTTCTCTCGGTCTATTGGTTTTTCTGTAATTTTTTACCGCCTGGTGGTCAAAATGACCGTCGTCATAATCACCATCGTCATCATATCGATTCCTAACTATTTCGTCGTCGTCAGAATGGTGACTTCGTGACCAATTGCAAGAGTCTCTGACCACTGCTCGGATCATGGGCGTTGCGTTTTCTTTGCGTTGTCGTTCAAGACGCTTTTTTAGTTCAGATCGTTGCTCGTCGATCCGTTCTTTTTCCAACATGAGGAACTTTTCTTTAGCGTCCTTGAATCTCTCGCGCGGGGATTCTCTGACTGTCGAACGACTTGGAGACGGTGTTCTTTGCCTGATTTCTACAGGCTTTTTCCTGTATTCAGGTGCGGTTAAGGGCGTCGGTGCAACGTTCTTGGCCACTTCACTGTTTCTCGGTCTCGGTTGGACCAGCGCAACGTTACGATCTGAATATTTTTCCCTCAGGTTTGGTGCAATGTTGTTGTTGTTGTTATTGCTATTACTAAAGTTTTGACGTTTAACATTTGAAACRTTGATGTGTTGTTGCACTTCTTGTCTCCCATTGTAATAGTCTTTTTCTGGCGATGTCACTGGGCTACTGCTACTGTCAACGCCACTGTCTTGTCTCCTAATTCTGGGTAACGGATGGTCACTAGTAGGCTTTGCAAACAATGGTTCTTCTAACGGACTAGCGTTCCAGTCATCATCTGAAAAATAAATTAAAATTGTYGTATAAAAAATGCGTGTTGTATAGATAGGTAGGTCGTAGCCTCGTAGGTATCTAACTAAAATAATTATTATTCATTCAGAATACAACTATTAAGTATGGGTGTCATCATCGTCATTATTCACTCAACACGTAGAAAATTACTATATAGCTTACGAAACCGTTTAAGGACAACAAGTGAGGTTATAAATTATTATT